GCGTACCGGTACGGCGCCACGCCCTCACCTTTTCATCACAAATTCGGAAGATTTCTCGGACGCCGAAACAGTATTTGTTTGACCGGTTAATGATATTACTTGATTTAGGGGGTCAATTTGTCCTATGCCGCCAACACTGGGTTTCAAACCGATAACACTGCACGAGCCTCACTTACATTAATCTTAGGGGAGTGAGTGCCAATCTCTCTTGAACAACTTGCGACACTCGGATACCGGTACACAACCTTGAGCAAGCTCCCCAACCCCCGGAAAATCTCTTATCTTGATATCAGTACTTCCACCATATGTGGAGCCCACCCCTCCCAACAGCACCGGATCCTATCTAAACGACCCGACCGCCACTTTCACCCGCTTACCTGCCCCGATACCCCGCGGCCACTGTCGAGACACATTCTGTAGGCGGGAAATTTTACAAGCACGTCATGTTCGGTACGGTACGGTAGAACTCAGGAGGGAAACAGCGATATACCACACTCAAGGACAATTATTCTATCACGGGCTCTCATCGATAATTGATATTGCTGTGGTAGGGGTATGATACTCTTTTCGAATTCATATTGAATAATGCGCGGGTGACTACGGCTTTAGCTATGATACTTGAGTACTCGTACCGGTGCTGGTATAGTACAGCACCGGTATACGAGTACTATCCCAAACCGCACCCTGAAAGCCTGTGAAAGAGCCGCACCCTAGGGAGCATGTTGTGCGTGACCTGGTAACCCCCACACTAGCTCGAACGGGGTTGACATTACAAGATATGTATCATTCATTTTGAAAACAGTGCTTTCGGTTGGATTAAGGAACAAAGGTTGGGGTTTTCAGGCCAACAGAATGCTACGGGTGTTGGTGGAGATGTTATGGGGGGAGGAGGGTGGGAAGATTTTTTGCCACGGGGCCACCAAGAAAATGGGAAAACCCTTTTCAATGCCGTGCCATACGCTCCTGTGCGCATATATATGATATTCGTTTACCATCCTTGGCCGGGGCGTAGACTACTCGTACCGGTACCGTACTTGTATGATACCATCCAAAAGGCTTTTCACAGAGCAACGAGCGGCGAAATACTCACAGACCATCGGCAGTCTCTTTCTTCCCTAAATAACCCTGAAAACAACCCAAAGCTCCTAAACACTTTTCCAACCCCCTTGCACAATTTTCTAGGGTTAAGATCTTGGCAATTTCCTTAGAATTCTGGGTGCAAACACACCATTTTTAAGTGAGGACAGACCAACACACAGAAACCTTTTCTGACTGAAAAATAACCATGGTTCATTCAAAGGTTTCACTTTTCCGGTGGTGTGGTTTTGCTGCCGAGTGCATGGTATGATATTGAAAAGGTTGACCAGGTGTTGGAAATGATTTCTCGAGAGCCCAGAGTATCGGGTACCAGTACGGTACTGTACTAGTACTCGAGTACAGTACCTGTTCATACTTTACAGCATCTCTCAAGGCAGGGGGTTTTGTATGCAAATGACCTATCGCGCTGGTCTCAACCACTCCAAATGCCTACCGGCACCGCTTTATCTGCATTACTTGTAGAGTACTCAAGATAAAATTGTAATTGATAAAAACTGTATTATATCTCAGACGTTTGGGTATTTTTTTTTTAGATTTATTTCAAAGCCCATTCTAGGGAATCAACGGAACAATAGTACCAGTGGCTTGAGAATCGCTACCCCCGGCGTAATTTGTCCCCTGTCCTGTCCGGTCCTGTACTGTACTCGTACAGTTACCGTCCTGCACAACATGGCGTTGTGACTGTGACCTTCCGTCCCGGAGGACTGCACCCCTTGATGCTTGCAGAGGTCAGCTGCCGTTACCACGCTGTTGTGGTTGTGAGACATCTTGGGTTGCAGGTTGCTGATGGGAGGCTGGCATGGAAATAAAAGCCCATGAATCTGCTCTGACTGTAGTAGAACTTGGGATGAGTAGAAAGACTGCAAGGACACACGGCTATCGTAACTCTGGGGCACAGAGAACAACACTATTCCGAGCTTAGTCGGAACGGAACTACTCCTCGGAAAATGGAAACAAATTCGCACCGTGAACATGGAAAAAAAGTAAGCTGTGGCGCATTCGCAGCCCATGTCAAGTTCTGACACCAGCCACAGGGGGGATCAGTGTAACATTACAACATGGGGGTCTTAGGGACCGGAAGCTTACGTCGTTCCTGGTCCGTTTGCGTCCAACCATTCCGCTGTCAACAATCAGCCCGCCCATTACTCCGCGAGCGCAGTCTTAACTCCTGAAATACTTGCATTTCCCTTCCTCTATCCTCGACAAGCTTCTCCCCCCCCCCTCCACCTACCTACCTACCTCGTTCCCCTCAAGCACGCTCCCGTCTAACATCTGATACCGCACAATGTCGGAAATCCCGCGTCACTCGGGTGCCCTCTACACTCCACCCGTTGCTCATCCCCCTCCGCCGAGTGGGCTGCGTTGGAACCAACAAAGACGGTCATCATCCCTATCGTCAGGCCCATCACGACGAAGCTCTGGAAAAGGAAGAAGAAGTGCCCTCATTGCTAGGGCTAGCAGGTTACAGAGATGGGCCCACAAAAGGTTCAATAAGATGACCTTGACACAAAAGATCCTTGGATCACTGGTGCTCTTGGTAATGGGGACCACGGCTATACTGGGGTTGATTTTCCATGCGAAGATATTACACGCTATGCTGCCGCTCGCTGCGAAGCTTAGGTACTTGAATCAATAGGGGGGGGATAGTGGTGTTTTGTTGCTGACCGTCTTCCGGTGTTTAGGAGCTGGAAGGTTGGGTGGCTGCTTATATTTGCTCTTTGCTTCGCTTCAGCTTTTCCACCGATGATCGGATACTCAACTTCGGTGACGCTTGCTGGGTTTGTTTACGGGTTTCCTAATGGGTTTGTTCTCACTCTACTCTGAGTTAGCTCCGGGTTTTTTGTTTTTTATTTTTTTTACCTTCTGAGTGGTATAACTAAACGGTTCTTGTGGCTAGTTGGTTTATAATCGCTTCTGCCACGGTAATAGGTGCTACCTGCGCGTTCATAGTATGTCGATACTACATCCAGGACTTTGCAAAGCGCATGGTGGCCACCGATAAGCGCTTTGCTGCCCTTTCTCTCACACTCAAACATGATGGGATCAAATTGCTGTGCATGATCCGGTTATGCCCCTTGCCATATTCAATCTCTAATGGCGCTATGTCGACGTTTCCAACCGTCAGTCCGCTGAGCTTCATGGTTGCGACGGCTGTGGCGACACCGAAGTTGCTGATCCATATTTTCGTCGGCGCTAAATTGGCTGAACTGGCTGAGGAGGAGGGCAAGAAGATGGATTTGAAGACAAAAGCCTTGAACTATGGAAGCATTGTTGGAGGTAATAATAATTATAATAAATATTTTTCTGTATCATGCCAGAGCTGACATTTTATAGGTGTTTTTCTCGGCATCATCACCGGGTGGCTGATTTATAAACGCACCATGTTTCGAGCGAAACAACTCGAGGCAGATGAGCGTGCACGGATCCGCGCACCCGCTGGGCAAGGCTTCACAGATGTCGAGGATCCGGACGCTGAGGCAGCCGCCGGTCTCGTTGAGGATCTCATTGAGGGTGGGTATCCAGATTCGGTCGACGATGACGAGTCCGAGGAAGGTGATGCTCTCCTGAATAGTGATGATGAGGACCCTGGATTTGGAATGGAGGATAGTCTGGAGCTTGAGAGGAATGATACCAAGGGGCACTCTCAAGCGCCGCCCAAGGGTCCTATCGCTCTATAGATATTCGGGCTGTTATAGAGGGAGGGTTTGCTAGAATTTCCTTTTTTTATCCTTTTCATTCATTCGTTTTATTATGTAGGCTATACAAGTATCTGGGCTGGGATGGGTTTCGGGGGGTTTGTTTTTGCAATTGCTTTGCTTTTTGGGTTGTTTGTATCGGGTGGGTGAATGTAGGTATCATACAGGATTTTCTTTTCTCTTCCTTTCTTTCCTTTTTATGCGGCAGGAACTCTAGCACTCTCGCTTGCGGGGAGGGCTTTTGTAATATTTTATTATTATTTTATTTTTCCGGGGCATTGGCACTGATTAGCTTTAGAAGTGTTAAGGAGGGGGGGAGAGGAGGGGGAGTCGATCGGGAAAACCAAAAACCGGACCTGCATCTCATCTGATCTACGCTGTATAGTACAAGTACAGTACTCCATCATATGTGAGATGCCGTATCGGACATTACTGCACGAGTGATGTAGGGTGAATAGTATATACGGTAGGAGATATCATACTCGAGTACCTGATCCCGAATAGATACTGTATTGTACATTATCTTTTTTTTTTTTTATTCTTGTTTTTATTTTTATTTTTATATTCAACACGACTTGGCTGGCCGACTTGGATGGGATGTTGGATGATGTCACAGGAGGTATGATACTTGTACAGTACCAAGTACTCGTACAGCATTGGAAGGCCACTATTCGGTCCGTGCTGAAAGAAGCGGAGAATTCAAGCTTATACTTGTATAATCGAGTAATCGAGGCGGCCAATTGACACCTTTATTTATATCTTTCCCTTCTTCTTGAGACATTTAGGCGAACGAAGCATGAGAGAACTCTCTGCCATGACGAATTAAGTCTTGCGCCATTTCCCCCTTCCCTCCTTCGTATTCGACCTTTTTTTTCACTTGCGCGAATTGGAAGAAGGCACTTCCAAGCAGACCGTGCGGAGCAGAGAAGAGAAGCAAGAGGTACTCGAGTACGGTACCCTACTCGATGATAAAGCTCGTGATGACCATTCGCTGGCAGTTTCATCATCTCCCCCCCCCCATGTTCTCTCCCTCCCTCTCCTTCCCTCTCTGGGTAAAAGAGAAGATCAGTTAGCCAGCCATCCATCCACACGCGACCACGACATTTTCTCTGCTTGCTTTTGCTTTCCGCGCGCGTGCGTGCGCACCCACCACACACACGCACACATATACGCATAGAACATGTAGAATCGGGCCAATGTGAGATGGGAAGGTGGTCGCGTTTGCTCGAGTACCGTACCGTGCTCGGCGAATTGGGTGTTGTTGTAGTAGTAGGACATTTTTTTTGCTCAAGGGGTAGGTAGGTAGGTAACTCCTGTATGATATGTACCGTACAGCACCGGTTATAGAGTGAACTCGTGGAGAGAATCATTTGCTGTTGTTGTTGCTGTTGAACTGTTTTCTTACTCGTTCTGCTGTCCTTTTCTTTGTGTGTGAGTGAGAGGAAGGAGGAGGGCTTCTCGGAAGGGGTGTGTGGGATGCCTGAGTGGAACGGGGGAGGAGGGAGGAGGGATATATAAGTACGTGAGTAAAGCCCATAAGTATTTGAACTTTTGGTTCTTTTTTCTTTTCCAATTCTTTATTTACTTAACTGTTCTTTTACTCTTCTTTTCTTTTTAAGGTATTATAACCTTTTTGTCGCTGGTTCGGTTCGATTTAGTTCATTTTTATTTATTTATTTATTTTTTATTGAATTTTAAGCTTATCATATTATTATCATACGGTATCATACCGGTAGTTTGTTTTCTTTTCTTATCTAACCTTATTATTATTATCGATTTGCTGCTGGACGGTAAGCCTTCTCTTTTTGGTTTTGGTTGTCAATATATAAAAACCGTGACAACCACCATTAACAGCCTGGTCTGTCTTGTCTGTCTGCCTAATTTGCTTTCTCTCTCCAACCTTCCTATCATACCTACCCACCTACCCAACCTATTCAACCTACCTTCCTCACAACTCCTTCAACCTCGACATATCGACTTCAACACCAACCAGTGACAGACAAAGATGACGCAAGACCAAATAATCGGTACATATGTGCACATCCCGGGGAAACCGAGGGAGCAGCACGCCCTCTACATGCTCCGGTGGATTGCCAGCCTGGTGAAGCCTATAATGAACAAGGGGGGGTATAAGGTGGGCTGTTTGGCTGAATTTTATCCTGTGCAAAAGAGCTTACTCGGTATTTCTTATCCATCCCCTTCCTTACGCTCTCGTCTGGAAGAGAGAAGAAGAGAGCTAATTATATCGTGTTTGGGCGGACAAGGCTTGAACGTCAATAATGGTGAAAAGGTCTGCATAAGGCTCCGCCAACCCTACGATGATAGCGTATTCTTGGACATTGAGGAGTGTGTTTATACGATGCTGCATGAGTTTGTCTTCCCCTTGTCCACCCTACGAGGGAGGAGCACCGGTTAATGGTAGTGATAGAATCACACACAACCTCCACGGTCCCCACAACGACACATTCTACGCCCACTTGAAAACCCTCGAAGAGTCCTACTCCACCCTTCGCCGTGGCGGCTACGATGGGGAAGGCTTCTACTCGGAGGGTAAGCGCCTGGGCGCTGGGATTCCCAAGAATCCGCTAATGTCCGAAGCTCGCCGACGAGCCTTGGCAATGGCGGAGAAGCGACGGGACATCTACTCCGGGTCTGGCCAGATGCTTGGTGGTGGGAAGGACCCACTGCCCAGTGGGTTGGGTATTCGTGAGAAGATCGCCGCGGCGACGGAGCGGCGTATACGTGACTCGCAGACTTGCGGCGCTGGGAGCGGTGCTAGGGATAGGGGTGCTATGGAGGCAGAGGCTGAGAGGACGATCCGTGCCGGGACCGTCACGGTTGGCGAGGAGGAGGAGGAGGAGGAAACAAAACAGGAGGTGGTGGTGCTAGACGAAGACCCGGAAAACGAAGCGGCAATAATGAATGCTGCGATAGAACTGATCCAGGAAGCGGAGCGTGAGGAAGCCGAGCAGAAGCTACTCTGGGAGGAACAAGACGGCATAGTCTGGATTGTAGACGATGAGGACGGTCCGATACAAGTCGAACTCCCTCCCGCTGCCGCCACCACTGCCGCCACCACTCCCTCTCCCCCACACCCCCGCATCCCGGCACCAATAGTAATCACCTCCTCCCCTCCCCCCCCACCACCTGCAGAACCTCAAGACCTCCCCCCAAGCTACGAACAAGCAACAACCTGGGCCTGTGACCTCTGCACTTTAATCAACCCCTCAATCCTCCCCCGCTGCGAAGCTTGCTCCTTTGAGCGGCCCGATAGCACCGACTCTGCTACGTCCCCGCCTCCCACACCTCTGTCGCCAATCTACCAGAACCCACCCTTGACGCAGGCAGTGATTGAGGGGAAGGAGAGGGAAAGGGAGAGACAGAAAGTCCGGTTCCTCGACATGCCATTGATGATTCCAGAGAAGAGGGGTGAGGCGGCGACGCCGGCGGGGTGGATGTGTGTTAGGTGCGGAACAGGGAATGGTGAGGGTTGGTGGGGGTGCGGTGGATGTGGCGTGGTTAGGGGGGAGATTTGAGGCATGCTTACAAAATGAATGTGAGAAAGGGAGAGGGGAGAGTGAATCAGTCTTTCTTTATTTTGCTTTTTTTTTTCTTGTAGGTATTTGCTTGGGGGTTGTTGCTAGGGAGTTTTTCGTTTATTCGTTTGCTTGCCGCGATTGTTTAACGGGATGATGATACGACATGATGGATGCCTTGCTCTCATGACATTTCCTTGGTTTTTACACCCCTTCACAACAGCACTAGCAACAGCTGTCAGTACCAGGATAATAAATACGATTGAATTATTTCCCAACCGTCCCCTCCATCTCTCTCCCTCCGTACTACTTGAATCTCGCGAATAGTCACAACGCCGAGTGAGAATCCATGACGCCCACCAATAAATGAATAATCATACAAGACTATCATCATCAAAGCCACCTGTGCGCGAATTGATATCCGGAAAAAGAAAAGAAAAGAAAACCTTCACATTAAACCCTTGTATTATAAATTGTAACCCCCCTCCAAAGCCGGGGACCACGATCCGAATAAATAATCTGATGCACTCGACTTTTTCATTTCATTTTTTCATTTCAAAAGTTCCAATCCAATCCAAAAGAAAGGAAGCAAGAAGAGAGGAAGAAAGAAAGAGATGCCGGCGGTTGGAGTTAATTCATACATAGTCTATGTACTCGTATCGTACTTGTAACGCGAACATCAGGATTGAGGCTATCGTATCGCCAATAGACCCCGCCAAGCCGGCGATTTCCCTCCCGTGGGTCGGTTTATCATACCGATCGCGCCAACTCTCGGCACGTGGGCGGTTTCAAGTTTCAACGGCCCGTCGTCCTCGGAATTACTCTATCTACTACTATATTTGTATCAACGGTCGGGCCTTGATGTGTTTCTTTTTTTTTTTCCTTTCCTACGGTTGTCATCATCATAACTCAAATCGTGTCCTCCTTGAGAAAGGGTCAATTGGTGGAGAATGGGTTTTCTATCGCGACCGATCTGAGCTCGAAGCATGAGTTATGATACTGGACTAACTTTATGCAGCTCTGGCAAAGTGCTCGGGCACGTCCCAATTTTGCTGGTACTTGTATCCCGCGTTCCGAATATCCGAGTACTCTTACCGAGATTTGGCATTTTGCATGGCCACGGCAATTTCTCGAGATGGATATATCTGACTAAAGATGAAAAAACCACCCATCTACCCCATCCATCCCCATGAAAGGGCTACATCTTGTAGGTTTGGTTTTCTCAAAGTTCTCTGCAGTGATTCTCAGATTAGAGATCGGGTTTTGCCATTTTCTTGGTTCTGGTTCGGGATACTGTCCCGGCATGCTGCATCTCTTTCTCCCCCCATTTCCTTCTCCCTTCGCCACGGGGCGAACGAGTAAACAATGTGTTCTTCCTCACGGCAAAGAGGGGAAAGGGCTCTGTAATGTCAGTCATCGTCGGCACTCTGCTCTACCGCGTGTGGGCGGGCTACTGTATCCAGCAAAATCAATCACATCCACAAGCAATTAGACAGGTTGAAATGTCAGAAGGCATCATGGACTTTCATTACCACCATTACTTTCAAACATCCATCATCCGCCATCCATCACAGGACAAAAAACAGTCGCTATGCAAACCACTTTCAAAAGAAGACAACAACACAATAAGAGGGCAAAAAACACAACCATTAAACGAGGAAAGAAAGGGAAAACAAAACAGAAATTATCAAGAAAATCTATGAAACCGAGCATTTATCAGGCAGTCCGCAAGGACCGCCGGTTTTCTCATCATCGGTATCCTGCCTTTTTCCTGGAACAATTTCCTTCTTAGCTGGCTGTTTGGGGGTTATTGCGTCTTTTTTGGTCGTAGCATCGGAGCTATCATGTAGTCAAGCGAAGTTGACGCGGGAGACAGTCTGGTAGAAGGTTTCGCCCTGGATGCGGGCAAGCTCCTTCTCCTTCTCGCTGGGCTGGCGAGATCCGTCACCACCCTGTGATATGGTTGTCAATAATGTGTAGAGAGAAAGGAGAGATTGTGAGAGGAGGGGGGGGGGGACGTACAGCGAAGGTACCGGCACCCCATGGGGAACCGCCGCGGACCTCAGAGCCGTCGGCGAGTATACCGAAAGCGTTCTTGTAGCCCAAAGGAACAAAGATCATTCCATGGTGGACAAATGTAGACATGGCGTTCAAGGCAGTGACTTCGTGCCCACCGCCCTGAGTACCAGTGGAGACGAAAACACCGACGTATTTGCCTGTGAGGTTGTTAGTGGGAAACCCCCCCAACTCGTGTTGGAAAAAGCAGGAGCAAACATACCATAGAGATCACCCTTCGCCCAGAGACCACCAGTGGTGTCGATGAATGCCTTCCACTGACCGGGGAAGTTACCATAACGAGTAGGGATACCGAACAGGAAAGCATTGTATTTAGTCAATTCATCGGCGGTGATGACGGGGTAATCAGGCTTCTCAGGGGCGTGCATAGCCTTAAGGACCTCAGGGCCGAGAGTCTCGGGGATCCTATAAGGGCAATGTCAGCGGCAGCTCCAATGGTTGCGGGGGAAACCCGGGGAAACCAAGCCTCTGAAAACTCAAAGAAGGGAATGGAGGAAACTCACTGGTAGATGGTGGCTTCTCCCCCAGCTTTTCTAATACCCTCAGCCTCCTGCTCGGCGAGCTGACGGATATGCTGGTACATGGAGTAGTAGACGATAGCGACTTTTGGGGCCATTGTTGATGTTTGTTTGAAGGTTATTATTTGGGAAGGGTGCTGTGCTGGTGTAGAAGAAATGGATGAAAATACTGGTGGTTCTCAAATAGACCGTCGCGGGGTGGGGAGGAGAATGGGATGAGAAGAGTAGAGGGGAGAGGTCTTATATATGTCATTCCTGGGACTGACGTTTGCTAGTATGACATTTTGCGGGACCCGCCTTTCTATCCAGGAAATTTTGAGTTGCTCTCTCACTCGTTCTGGCCCTCCACACCAAAACCAACCTTCCTCCCCCTCGCTCCGCCATCATCAACAAACCCCGTCGCTTCAATTGTGCCCCTCAAAGCCCGCGGGGAAAAAAAAAGCGTTAAACGCAAGGGTGGTGGGAAAGGGTATCCGGAAGTTTCTATCGCGTCCGTCCACCCATCCCTCCACACTCAGTTACCGGTATGATTTCAGCACATAACCTTTCCTCCCTTCGTGCCTGGCGTCCCCAGTAGTGGTAGCAGGCCCTTGATTACCGGCTGCTTAGTGATAGCATTCCTCAGTGTTGCGGTGCTCTAAGCCTCTCCATTTGCGGATTTGCTTGCAGGGCTTTGAAAGCGGTATCTTCCTTCTCGGTGTTTTGGGCATGCGTTGTGGGGTGGTGGGTGCGGGACGCGAGCGATGGATGGTGGGACACTAAGAATTTGTCACCCTTGCCAATCAATCGCCAAGTTTTGGTAGCATCCATTCATGCAGCTTAGGGAATATTGACTAATTATTCCAGATGGGTATGATATCATGCGAGGGAAAGAGGGAAAAAAAAGGAACAAAAGGGAAATTTTGATCATTAGTAATCTTTTTTTCTTTTTTTCTTTTCAAAATCCTCCGGTGAGATCGTTTTTCACGGTGCACTTGGAAACATGGTTCGTTCAAGGGTGTCTGAAAATCCCCTTTTTCTCGATCCACCCAATTCTCGGTTTTTCTTTTATTCCAATTAATTAGCTTCTTCTTTCCCCTCTCGCTTTCCTTTATCATCGCCATACGAGTATTGTATCTCGGGTACACAGATACCAAAGGTATTGTACAGTACTCGTACTGGTACTGTACTCGTACCCACCCCTCAATTACCCGTACTGTACAAGTACTGTACAGAGGGGAACCCTTTCGGGCAGGGGGAGGCACACGCTTGCCAAATTAAGGTAATTACCGTAGAATTGACCCCAGTTTTCCTTTACCTATGACCCAGAAACGAAAAGGATTTGCCTGTGTTCTCACGCTGCAGCCTGCATCAAGGTGCACGGCGAAAACCTTGGTTGATTGGCTACCGTAGTGCTCAGAGCTCAAGGACTACGGTATTCCGTACCGGTACTTGTACTATACTAGGTACCTTATGGCGCTATGGTAGGGGTTTGGTCATCTCCCAATGTCCTCAATTGATTACCAGGCTCTGACAAACGTTAATAATTGGCAATCTCGTCGACTAGAAGGATCTTCCGTCAGATTTCTAACCTGTGTGTGCATTGGGAAAAGCAAAATTTGAGACAAAGCGGTGTTCCTGATAATGGCCAGTAATCTAGCATCTCGAAACCCCACCCTCGAGCGGCAAACCAGGCAAGAATTCATTGATTAACCTTTCCTCTCCACACACACACACATACATGTACGAGTACTCGTACACTCGTATCGTCTTCCGGTACAAGTACAGTACAGTGCTCGTGCGGGCATCTGCCGTAGTAGGTTATGGCTACCGTATAGTGCTCGAAGGGATATAATTCCACCGCCAGAGGGAGAAATTTCGAACACAGCATACCACCGGTGTTCACCCCCCATCCCATCCCGGAACCAACCTGCAGTAGAAAGGCCACGATACACAAAGAATATCCAGCATGGTAACCCACGAACCAAATCAATGCCTTCCCGCCGCGTACTCGCAGTCTTGAACTAGGGCACAGCGAGAACCAGCTGGTGGTGATCGAACCGGGGTCTGTAACGGGTATTTCTTTGTTACCCTACTTTCACGGATTCGTTCCTGTGCTTGGAAATACATATCATATCATATTATCATACACCGGCTCCTCACCCACCGGTTTTCGTGGTGCCCCAGTTGAAGATTACCGTCGCAGCCAAGGCAACAGGGATAAGACCGGTACCTGGCTTACCATCCATCAGCCTTCTCTTTTTGCCCTCAGCGCACCGAGTAAAATGATCAACACAAGCTCGTGGGGCTCCGATGTGGAAACTCTAGTCGCGCAGTAGTTAGGCAAACTAAAGCACCACAGTCCTCGTATCATACGACAGAAATAGTATCCCAAACCATCAGGAAAATCAATGTTAACAACAACTATAATACCAGGGTCCGGCAGTGAAGGGGAAAAAAGAAAAAAAGTGCTCTCTTACCATTGAATTTCCAGATTTCAACTCGCCCACCGGTAACATTGTCCTTGGGTGGTAAACGAATTCCCTCTCTCTGTTTCAGGATTGAATCAACCACGAGAGAGACGTGGCGTTCAACCGGCTGCCTGGATAGTTGTAGGTCGACGCAATTGTGAGATGATTGTTAGTCTAGGTGGGGGAGGGGGGGTATTGGAGATATCGCCCTCCGTTACTTGACGTAAGTCTCAGCGCCCTCAACGAGTAGACTCGCTTGCCAGCGTCCTGGCAAGCGAAAATGTAATCGACATGTTACCGGCATGAACGGCTTTGAGCAACTGTCGATCATCATTCCAATTGCTCATACATGCATTCAAAACAACCGCAGCCATGTGTTATTTGGGCTGTGTTTCCTATAAAATTGGTATTAATATGACCCCTACGCAAGATACCGTACCTCAAAATCGGTGGGGAACCCGTGGTGCTTTGATTCGATGTCTTGGAATAGTAATGTCGGACGAGCTTGACGGGCTCGTTGTAAACTGACGAGGACAATCGTGGTTGTCCTGCGTTATCTACCGTATTCATTTGACTTTTGGTTGTCCATTGCTGGACCCGTTGTGGAAGGGAGGTGAGAAAGAGGGAAGAAGTGGACGGTGAACAAGGAACAAGAATTGTGGATGGATTTTCTTCAAACTTTCGGTTTCGTTTGCTCTTTTCCATCCTCACTTTCCTCACTTTTCACCGAGAAAGGCCAGGGAAGTTCATTTCAAAACCGCCTTCCATCGAAACCCCCTTCGCAGCTTTGCCTCTCCGTGTTACCCCCGTGTGGGTAGTGGATAAACTATCGTTATCAGGGGGATTACAGCCGTCCAGACTACATTGGGGGTTCTGAATTGAGCCGTTGCCAACACCCAATGGAGAGAGCGCCGACCCCAAAGGAGGGGATAACAGTACTGTGCTCTAGTATCCAAACCTCCGTACCGGCCATACCGGTATTACATTATCCGTAGGACTGTGTCATGAAAGAGGAGATGCGACTCCCCCCCCTCAACTATGGTATCATGGTTGAACAGAGCTTTGCTGGGGTCCCGTTTGGGTTGTTTCCGGGAAATTTTTGGGTTCAGCACTGTCCAAGGGATTCTTCATTTGGCTAATATCTATGCAAAAACTGGGCTTGCATTCTCAAGAATCTCGGGAACTTATTATTATCGCCCTAAAGGGAGGAAAAAACAGAAAACCGATCAGCCCAGCTCTCCAGGCTATCCTTGGGGGGGGGGTGTCTGTCTTGGCCAACTTGTAATTTTCCTTCCAGCAACCAAACCGGGACCGAGACATCTTGCTCCTAAGCCCGAAGTCGACCGGCTTCAACTGTCGCAAGAAGGCTCAAGCTACCAAAACCTTTCTCCGCATAGCGTCATGCCCGAAAAAGAAACAACTTCAAACCGCGCGGCGTGCTGTTGTGCTGCGCGAAAGTTGCCTTGCTCCCGCTGGAGCCGCCGAATATCACCCTCAATTTAGGCTCTAGAGAGACCAGGGTCAACGACTATCACTTTGGGACATTTCGTTCCACAGAAACAACCCTAGAATCTAAAATCTCTTGCAACATTCCAGCGGGTAACGTAGTACTGTAGGGGCACGGCGAATTATAAACCAGAGGTCTAGTGGCAGGACACCAATGTTGGTGGGGCTATCTCTGTATAGTACCCCTCTTGCTCGTTGTCTCCTCCACGCTGTTATTGCGATTCAGCCCCTCTGAGATCCAGGAGACTTCCCCTTTCTGTGAGTGATAGGCGAAGAGGGATATACTTGCCCATGTGCTAATCTTCCGCTCGGAAAGGCAGGGACGAGGATGCTCATTCTACTCGTATTTCTCTATACGCACTGGATGCATGGTGTTTACTCGTCGTGTTTTCAGTTTCTACTCTGCCTTTGTTTTCGTCCCACATTTCCCACGTTTCCCTTCGACTGGGTATAGAATATATCTCACCCAGTGGCTCATACCTGTCAATGGTCTCGCTGTCTAGGACATCATGTAGTCCTTGGCTCGGGGGATAACTTCCTAGTTAACTTGAGAGCAGGCAATGGCCTTCACAGGGAACTGTCTTGTAGCCAATATCCTTACCCTCTTGAGGCCTCAACCGGTGTGCAAGAGGAGGAAGATAATTTAGGCTGTGTTCTTATAAACCTATCTGCTTCTCACTTTCATCTCCACCTTAGCTCTCATAACCCAAATCAAGTTTCTAGCCGTTGGTATGACCCCGAGCAGAGAGAGGGGAAATGGATATGAAGTATCTCGGATTGCTCGTGGCAGACGAGAGATACCCGAAGATAGGGACTCGCAAAATATATAGCAAAAAATACGTGCGTGTCTGAGTGCCCATATATGCCCAAGACCCCTGTTTTCGAATCCCTCCTGCCTGGTACGAGTATAGAAGCATAGCAATACATTCCCTAATCCAGTTTAGTGTGGTGGGGGGATCAGATCTCCGTTGCGAATCCCCGAGACCTGTAGGTACCCGTACCTATTGGGAGAGGTTCTGGAAGTTGAAAATAGCAAGGATCCTATCATATGACGAGTTTCCGTAGGGCTATGATTGCACTAGTTGAGTTGTGGTGTGGGACAGAGCCGCTAGACGAGTGATCAACGGTGAAATAATCTCAACTTGATTGGCACATTGACGGCCATTCTTGGCACTCCTGACACTATCAAGTTAGAGGGGTGGTGGAAAATATGGCCTCATTCGAGATATATATCCATTTTAAACGGCTGAGCTCCTGAGGGAGTGTAATGGCAAGGAGCGTCGTTATGCCTCCGGGCCTCCGCCAGATCGATGGTTCCTGCTTCCGGCTAACCCAGGAGGTCCACCAAAGGTGAAGCTGTTATCGCCAATCAGCAGCAATCCAAGAACCTATCCTCCTTGGGCAATGCATCTGCACCAATTTGGAATAGCTGTTTCAGAGCTTCTCAGATCTTAATCCCCGTAAAAAAAAAAAAAAATTCCCACGCAGGAGAATGCTCTCCCTGGTTCACGGGCCCCCTCGAAACCGTTGAAACACACTTTCAGATTGCTCAAGATCTGAAAGATATCTCAAGATGAAAGTAGCCTGCGTTCCTAGTTTGACTATAAATTAACAATGGTGTGACACTATGGGAGGGTAGGGCAAGTTTCGGATGACAAATGCTTTGTAACAAGGTATTTCATTTTCCTTTGGAACCAACACACAGCTTAGGCTGCTGGAGCGCCGGAACCCAAGATCATATATGTACTTATCCGGGAGATGGGTTTCTTTTCCCCACGCAATCTGGATAAGTGGAGAGGGTGATGCGGGGTGAGGTTTGAGAACACTTCATATGTTATCACTCGGGTTTGTAACCGTTTGTTAATGGGCCTACCGCGGTTTCCCCTGAGGCGATGGGGGTTAACTCACTTGTGGCACTTTGGAGCGATCGGCTTCAGAATTGCCCGAGTCGATTTTGTGAGAATAGCCGATCTGTATTCCAACAATGGAATTGTGATAAGCAATGATCGGAGGACCATGGAAGGTGATAATATATACTGTATACTAAAGCAATGAGACCGGAGAGAGGTTCTATAAAAGAGTAGATGTTTAAGAGAATGGAGTTCCTAGAGAATGAATGGTGCCTTTTAATACCCTTTTATAGGCGATCTTCTGCCCAGTGCGCGAAAAACGCAGACCGAGCACTGATGATAGTCGATGCGTATAACATATTTGCTGCCCTTTGTAGGCCCTGTCCCACGCCCGGATCCGTACAGCTACTTTGACCCCCCCCCCTATGGTACCAGAAGCTTTACTCATAGACTGTGTGCTAAAATCCCCGTTTCTGCGAGCCCCAGAGCCCAATAGTGCGTCACAGGAGGTCCGTATTTACCACAATGCCCAAAAACTTCCAAATAGTTTCCTAATTATAAAATCATACGGGTGTACCTACCTTCTCTAAACAGCTCTCAGAAATTCCCCAGAGCATCAACTGCATGCGCTTACTTCCACAAGCGCCCCCATCCCAAATATTTTCTATCTGCCGTGAATTCCTCTCCCCCTAGGGAGCGGATACTAAACAAAAGGTAACCCTGAGAGGATGTACATGCGCGTGCGCAGTTGGTTCAGTATACTGACAAGTTGAGCTTATACTCAGATAACGGTCTCCCCGTAAAGCACCGCCCAGGCGCAGACTATGGGCGTAGTGGTTGACGTAGTAAGTCGGGTTTGGTTAGTATAGGATCCACGACGTGAAGGCATTTTCTCCTCCTAAATTGTGGATTAGAAATGCTAGAATGATATATATGCGATGCGCACAAGCGGGGGGAGGTGTAGGCTATTTTATTCTTCCCCCTTTCCATTTTTTAGGCGACCGGTGCCTCACAGTATCCCACCGAGCTCCACTAATTCACAGGTATTCGCAGCAGTATGCCTTGACGGCTTGGATTCTTTGGAGCCTTCGGCGGATCTGCAGCAGAAGGATAACACATTCACCGAAAGCAGTAGTGTCAGCTATTTGTCGATGGATCGGAACCCAGTCCAGACAATATTACGTATCTCCAGCAAGCAAGTTGGCTCCAGGTACTAGAGATTCATTTCCTCACGCTTGGCTAGCACCAACAAAAACGGTATTTGGGAGCCGATTGTGAAGATGCTCTCCCAGGTTCTATAGAATGCTGGGACAACCTGTAGAAACTTGAGCCTAGTTGCCTCTAGCTAGCCTGCCGCGGTCTGCAACGCTTGAACAATGAAGCACTGTATAATCCCATAACGCACTAAGAGAGGGATAAAAGATACCTTGATCAATTCTCAGGGTAGTTCAGAAGATAGCATATTGGAAAATGCTTTCATAGTCGGGGATATCAGACTCAGCAGAATGCCGGCCGGCCCTTCGGAGGGGAGGAACTCGAAGGTTGCGTCGTCCACGGACCTTGGCCACCCGCCAAGTTTGCCACAAGGGTGGTCTTGAATACGTGGTACTAAGAGAGGCTGTTTCGTTTTGCCAAAGCATTTCAAGTCCCAGCCGGAACAAACACTTCCCTCCCCTACTCTAGGAAAATGGAACCAGTAAGCCTACGGTAGACTTTCAAATAGTGGGCTATCCGCCACCACGGCCTTTCATACTGTATACCCCATCACCCCGACCGCTCATATGATCCCGCCGGCGGGTCGGAACTCTAGTAGGCTTTCGAGATGGAAGGAAGCTCCTACCTGGCCTTCCGCATTCCCGGAACACGCGTCCGGAAGATCATACTGGGAGTTTGACACATGCTGGCACTGTGTAATACCAAAGGATGTATCATAGATACCTCCTCAGAGCATAAACCCGCCACAAACCTACCACGGACCTACCCAAAAAAAACCCCTCAAATCACACCCCATCACTCACTTCACCCCTCCACATGTCTTCCACCGATATCTTCCTTGCATAGGAAATTGCTAGAAAAGCATATCCTATAACGCCACGAGTACCGGATAGCTGAGGAATTCAGGTATAGCAGCTTGGAGACAAAATTTCCGAGGAAACTGCAGAGGGGTGGGTTGCTTGCTTGAAGGGCTTGGTTATCTCAGTGGGGTATTCCGGGATAGGATAGGTGTATGGGCTGAATGGTTTAATAGTAAGATTTTGTTGAACCTGAGGTTAAATCTACAGAAGCATTGTCACATATGTACCGCTCCATGATTGTTCAGACAAAAGCAGTAGCGCTGCCAGAACGGCAGCCCCCCTCCCCTCCCCCGCATCTAAACTAGACATAACCACCCCCAGTACGTATCTTCCTAACATAGACTCTCTGTTGCTAGTACGCTACCAGTATACTCAACATCCTCCAGAGTATCATACTCTAGATAGTAAAATATCTCAAAACCGAGTGATCACTCATGGAAAAAGAAAGTCATCGGCGCGTTAAAGGTAAAACTGAAGATTGGTTCAACTCGAGCGCCATAGGCCGACATAAATCTGGGAGACCCAGTGCATACAGGACTGTGATAACAACTTGAGTCTTCCCACCCCACTGCTACTGTGGTCCCAGCCAATACCCAGACGGCTACCAGCAGATTCCCCGACCAAGCCAACTGCTCCCGGGCCGCATTTCCCCATGAATTACGGTTCACACCGATATCATCATACACCGGATCTTATTCTTATCTCCCCGAACACGCCATGAACCCGATCTGGTCCGAGCCCTAACCCACTGACTACCGCTAAAAGTAGCGACCTATCCGTATCTAAACTAGCGCCCGCAAAAGCACCAGGATTCAACTCAACCCAACGCAGGGGAAAAAAGAGGGCGGAATAGGAAAAGAAAAAGAAAAAAAAAACAAGTTCGAGCAATAGTTTAGAAAGCGTCACTATTGCGAGGATTTGAAACGATAACAAGTCACTTAGAAATCTCCCATTTATAAAGATGAAATTGATCACCAGCCATTCTACTAGATTGAACACTTCTTACTTTACCGTAGGTGCTGTACGAAGGCGTTATTATCCCGAATTACGGGCAAGAGGGAAGTGAGACACAGCCGGGATGAGTGATGCAAAGTCGGTCAATCTCTTATCGGGGGGAATAGCTGTATCGTTGGGGAATTGGTAATCGTACGGTACGGTACCGAGCGTAGTGATCTAGGGACTTTTCCTGACACTAGTTAGCACAGTCAGTTCCTGCTACCCGAGTAATTTGTAAAAAAATAAAAAAAAGTGGAATGAGGCGTCATGAAAAAATTAGAGTAAAGTTGTGTTGCTTTTTTTTGATCTTCATGGTGATCGGGGTTAAAAATGGTTAATCTTTCGCCATATGTATGCAGGGGTGATTGGTGGTAAACAAAAAAGGAACCTAACCTTTATATCAAGATCTTGCGAAGAAATTCGGGCCTATGCAGTTAGTTACCGGTATTTCATGTGAGTGACTAAGCGCGCTTTTGTCGACGTTTCTGGTCAAAATCGAGCTAACGTCGGGTTCACAAAGTAGTACTAAGATATGGAAGAAAGGATTGAATAATTATATTTTACTCAAGTTCGTGATACCATTTCGTCTAAAAATTATTTTAACCGAACAAATCACCGAACCCACCTATGTAAAGGTTAGCTGAGTTTCATAAAAATATTGGAAACCTGTATCAAACGTACCCTCATCCTCCGACTCCTCGTCTTCCTTCTCCTCCTCCTTAGCCTCTGGCTTGCTGTCCTCAGCGGCAGTGGCACCAGGAGCAGGGCCAGCAGAAGCGTAAGCCTCAGGGTTGGCAATCCTGTCCTTGAGCTCATCAATCGCCTCCCAGGAGTATTCGGTCTCCAAAGCGACAGCAATGGCCTTCTTGTAAGAGTTGACCAAACTGTGAATAACCGATGGCAGGGTAGGGTAGTTTACAGCCAAAGAGATGGTTGCTAGAGTCTTGACGGCATTCAAAAAGCTGGCCAAAAGCTGTTCGTCGTCGATGTCCAAAACCGACGGTGCAAAGACTTGGCCTTTGTCGTAGACCTGGGAGATACCCATACCGTATGTGAAGGGAGAGATGTTCAACATATTGAGAAGGGTCGCTTCAGAAGCTCCGACCTTGTTTCCAGCCTCAACGAGCTTGAGGTCGGTAGTAATTTCAATGGTACCACGAGCAATCTTGGTGGGAACACCGAGAGCCTGGAAGAAAGAGGTCTTTCCGGGTTCCATACCGGTGTTGCCCGCCGGGACAAAGACATCGAGAGGAGCGACGGCGCCGGCACGAGCGGGGGCGGCGACTTTGTTGGAAATAATTTTGTCGCGGACATCGTTGAGATCGGCATTGGTGAAGACAAATCCAACATTGCCTACATTTGAGGAGTGTTAGCCCGTAAAATAAAAGATAAGTAGAACACGTGATTGATTACCCTTAACGTGTGGAAGAAGACGCTCGTACTCAGGGAAATCAGAGAGCAAGACACGGATGGCGCGGCGAACCATGGTATTCTTTCCCATGAGAACAACACCTTGACCCCTCAGAGAGGCACGGATCTCGTGCATTTGCTGTGAAGAGACCTGTTTTGAACGAACAATTAGCACCTCTCAAAAAGATATACAGGAAAACCCAGTACCAGCATATTTGGCGGAAACCCACATTGTCGACGGTAACGATGAAAATACTCGTGTAGGTCTCGAGGAGTCCCTTGAGCTTTTCGAAATATTCTGCTTTGTTGGTCTTGGCCCCCATATCTTCTTATAGAATGAAGAGAGGTTTTTTAAGGTTCAAGACGGATGAGGGCAGGAATGCGAGGTGTGGTGAAAAGGGAGCTGTTGTGAATTGATGGCGAGATGCTAAATTTGAGACAGAGAAAAATCGACCTTATGCTCCACATTAGTTGTGTGGGGGGGACTGGGAGTGGGTAGAGGAAGGGCTAACCCCACAAGTCACGTGAGAGAGGAGACAAGGGTCCTTCAACACCGGCGAATGACTAATAAGGACTAGGGGGATCGAGATTGCGCGAGAAACCCATGCCGTCCCTCATGGTTGGGAGGCAGCAGCCAGGGCAGGGTGGGTGGTGTGCGAAACCAGAGCGACACCAGGGTAGGGTAGAGCACGGTAGGGTGCTCTGCCTCTTGTGTTGCAGCGTCTGCCGGCCAGCCAACCAGCCAAGTTCTGGGCAAACGACAATGCAGTACAGTACTCGTACATGGTTTTTTTTGGGGATGGTTTTTTTTTTTTTCCTTCAAATCTTTAACCGCCTCAGAGAAATGCTTCGACCTACATGAACACACATTACAGCAGTACTGTACAACCTTGAGCAGTTGGCAAGTACTGGTAGGAAGAATGAAACTAGGTTATCGAGCTGTGTGCACTGCGGGATGGCTACCCGTCTGCCCGAAGGCCTCCGTACATTCCTGTAATAGACCGTACAACATGTACCGAGCGTACATAGGGCACCGCATCCTTGCGATATCGCAAAGGAGACTACTGCGCGATAACATGGCGGTTCTCAAGAGATGGAAAGTGAAAGAGAGAAAGGTGAGAAAGCGAAGAGAAAAAAAAGTTAGAGAAAAAAGGAAAAGGGATCACCCCCCCACCAAGGAGCTCGTGCATAATATCCGATTTCGACCTTTTCTATTACAATATCACAACAAACTACTAGAGTGAACAATGGTTGGTGACTATTCTGAGAGACCTTAGTTCCCTACACCGATTCCCGACGGGGTTCAGAGAAGAAGAGTTGATCGTATATGAATGAGGAGGAAAGGCTTTCCCCCCTTGGCTGTCAACTGCTGTCTCTCTGGCGAGATGAAGTCGTTAGCGTGCGTCTTTCCCGGACCTGCGTGTAACCTCGGATTTCAGGCTGACTTTGCCCTTTCCCATGGGTGCCGTAGATCTTGGACGACAGCTGTTCTAGTGCAGCATGAGCAATGTTTACGACTGAATGAATTCTTCATTCCAGTCTTTAGATTTATTCCTCGGAGGGTTCTGATAATTTTTCCATCAGATTTGGTGATAATTTTGACATATACCCATCTGGGTTACGTTGAGAATTGCCTGTCGCGTCAGTTGGTGGCACGCTGGTAATATAGTAGTTGCCCAGCAGTTTTTTCCCATTTCCCTTCTCCCTGGGCAAGCACCAGCAGCATTGTCGCATACACGCGACTTGGTTAGTACTGTTGCCCTTTGCAGAGTATCCACTCACTTCCCACCTTTTAACTTCCCACCGTACAACGCCCTCTCTTCCTTCATTCGAAAGCGTATCCACCTCGAATAAGCACCATAGGCAGATGTATTACACTTTCATCCCCTATAGTCAACGGTCCCCCCTTCCAACCTTGTTCCTCTTACTACGGCACATGTCTGGTTATTGTAGCCCGTAATGAGCTCTCTTAACTGACATTTCTCTGTTATCCTACGTAACATACCGGTATCTGTTTCCCTACTCCCCCCTCCCTCTTACTTATTCCTTCCTTTCTCCCCTCTCCCCTAAACCTACCTACCTACATACATACGTTCCTTCCCACCACCACCACTGCTGCTGCTCCCACCACCTCCCACCACCTCCCCTCCCCTCTCTCCCTCATCCTTCCCACCCACACGCACCCGCACCCCACACTATTCCTCGAATTCACAACCTCATCCATCCTTCTACCCACCACATCTTTCCCCATAACCAACCATTATATGTTGTCCGAACCTTCGTTGCTATTGTAGCGTGGGAGGCTTAAAACTTTCTCCACATATAGAGAGGCATCTCTTTACCGATAGGGTGAGGCATTTGCTTCATCTCAGCATTTGGTTGAGCGGACGATAGAGTCTGAGTGCAATTAGTCTTTACCCTATCCGTCTCGTTTCACTTTCCTATTCTTTTGTCATCCAAACTCTCTATCCCTTCTTTTTACCTTTCTTCGACACATTTTCGATTCAACGACCCACACCTTCCCTCGCTCCTCCTTTTTCCCCCCCCCTCCAATCTTTCCCCGACCCTTCCCCATACTCTGAACACTCATCCCCTTTCTATTTATCTGTTACTATAGCCCCATCCTCGCTTTTTGCCGTGCTGGTACATTGGAGGGAACTACACTCTTTTTTCTCTACAAACCCCCCCACAGCTAAGTTTTTCCTGCATTTGAGTTTTCCCTTTCAAATACCCACCACGCTTGGGCTCTGGACCATCAAACGTCCTGACCTTCACCCCCGATGGCCGATCGTAAACCATCCGTTTCCACCTCTAGGACTACGGCTGGCAATGGCGCTGCTGGGGATACCTCAACTGGTACTGCAAATACCCAAACGACGACTGCTATAAACACGCGCTCTACCTCTCCTTATGGAACCCGCTCTCGTGGTAGAGGGGCACGTATAAATTATGCCGAAGACAAAGACAATGACATGGACTATGAATTCACATCTACCCCCTCGACGTCATCAAGTAAATCTGCTGCCGCCGTCGAGCCAACACCCTCGACGAATGCGTCGCGAAGGGCATCAGCAGTTGGAACTGGGGCGAAGGACAAGGAGGCTGTTAAGGAGAATACCGCGACGGCAGTCGCTACCACATTCACATCTGGAAAAAAGAGAAAGAGCGCCCACCCGGCACCCATTATGCCAAAGGACATAACACTCTCAAATATGATGAGCTTTCAGAACCCCAATCTTAAAGATGGGAACTTGATCGCGGATGATGGTACCTCGCTCGCTGTAAATGGTATAGTTCTCGCAACTCTCCTTCCCGCAAGCTTTGTGAAATCTGGACTCTACAGAGCTTAGCGAGACATAAGACCACCTTTTGTTTTACTTTGTTTTATTTTTCACTTCTGCTCGTTCGCCAACGTAAATTGAGGGTTAAATTGTTGACGCTAACAGTAACATCTTTCTAGATCATATTTATCTTGTATGCGAGCCTCCTGGGGAGCCATATTATCTTGCCCGAATCATGGAGTTTCTTCATGCAAACAATAATCCATCACTGCCCATAGATTCAATACGGGTCAATTGGTATTATCGACCAAAGGACATCCAACGAAAGGTTACCGACACGCGCGTGCTCTTCGCGTCCATGCACTCTGATTGTTGCCCACTCGCCTCCATTCGCGGCAAATGTTTCATTTCGCATAGATCAGAGGTTAAGGATGTTGACCAATATCGGAAGCAGCGAGATAGCTTTTACTTTGAAAAAATGTTTGACCGCTATATCCATCGATACTACGATGTTATCCCTACGACAATGGTTCGAAATGTTCCGGAGAAGGTGCGAAAAGTGTTGGTTGAAAGGTGGAAGTATTTGCTGGTTGAGCCGCAGAGAGCAAAGGAATTATGTAGTCAAATGAAGGAATGCAAGAGATGTTCAGGATATTGTGCAACGTACGAAATTCCCAGGAAGAGCCCCTTCATTTTTTCAGATATTTTATTTTTTCTTTCAACCCCCTTTCTGTAAATTTTAGAGTTGCTGATGTGATGGTTTATAGGACCGATTCCGTACATTGTGCAGTTTGTGGTCATACATATCATATGAATTGCGTTCGTCCTCCATTACTCAAGAAGCCGAGTAGAGGGTTCGCTTGGGCATGTGGGCCTTGTAACCAAGCCCAAGAACGCAAACTTGAGGCACGCAACACACCCAATCTGACGCCCGGAATAGGAAATAGCAATGATCTTGAAGACGACGCTCTCGATGACGAAGAGGAGGATTTATCTCCGAGGGCTGTCCCTTCCGATACAGCGACTCCTTCTGAAACGGCCGATCATGATAAACAGCCTACACCAGAGCAATTGGCATGGGCAAGAATGTGGCCTATGAGATATCTTGGCCAGCATTGCCGTGTCGAAGACGCTTTAGATTATGATGATCGCATATACCCCCGAGCAGCCTCGCGGATAGGGCCCAGACACCAAGCGAATGTCAATCCTTGGCATGGACGGCCTGTCGAGTATGTGAAGCCTATTGAGAAGAAAAAACCTCAAAAGGGTGGTGGCAAGAGTGCTAAAAACGCTGCTGCGGCAGCAGCGGAGGCCGAAGCCGTGGCGGAGAGAGAACGGCGTCCAAAGTGGGTCATGGATGAACCCGCAGGGTATATTCGGCGAGGCGAAGATGATGGCTCAACCTCCACTTTGCTCTTTAAAATGCCAGATTTACCAGAAGAGGATGAGGAAGAAGGCGAGGCTGGAAAGAAGCGAGTGGAAAATGAAGAATCCGTTGACCGTTTTATGTTGAATGCGTCCGAGATTGCTGAGACTCTTCCCGGTGGGGGTGTTAAAAAGTGGACCGTCAATTTTCAGGATAAAGCAATTGAACTTTTCTATGCTAGCGACTTTGATGAAAAGAGAGTCTTAGTTCAGCTCGGCAAAATGCATGTCACGAGGGATCTCAAGGAACCTAGATTTAGACCCGATGAGCATAAGCGGTTTGAGGAAGGTGTGGCGAAATTTGGAAGTGAACTTCATGCTGTCACCAAGAATGTCAAGACGAGGAAAATGGCAGAAATTGTGAGATACTACTATACGTGGAAGAAAACTGCCAAAGGCCGTGAGATATGGGGCGGCTTCGAGGGACGGAAAGGGAAGAAGGAGGTTAAAGTTAGGGGCAAGGAGCACGGAACGAAATTGGTGGACGATGTTGCCGATGATGATGACGACTCCGCATTTGATAACACCAAAGCTGGCGAAAAGAAGCGGGGATTTGAATGCAAGTTTTGCAATACCCGTGAGAGCAGGCAGTGGAGGCGTGCACCTGGTGTACAACCTGGAACATTGATTCTCGCAGACAAAGGTACCGCAAGCTCAAAGAGGAAGGGTGGGGAAGAGAGATGGCTCGTCAGCGCGCTATGTAGACGA